CATTAGACATATACTCAGTACCATTGTCTGACCTTAAGACTTTAAGTTGGGTTGAGAACTGATTTGTAACAAGACTGTGAAATTCTTGGAACACATTAATAACTTCATCTTTTGATTTCAACAAAATACAACCAGGTACATCTTGAGAAATCATCCACAAAGGTGACAAAGTATTTAAAACCATCAAAAGAAACCAAGGGTGCAGGTCCCCAAACATCAGAGTGCACAATCTCAAAAAGGTTTACATGACTTGGTTGATGAGACATCAAAAGGCAACCTCGTCTGTTTTGAAAAAATGGCAAACTTCACAATCTTGAGTCATCACATTCTCTGAAGTTTTGAAGAGATGTGATTGCACAAGATTAGAGGGATGCCCTAATCGTCTATGCCATAATAGATGATTCTTCAAAAAGCCAACTTGAAGACCTCTAGCTTCAATAGGTTGCAATGAAAGCATATAGAGGCCATCTTTATACATGCCTTCACCAATCTTCTTCTTCGTGATACGATCCTGGAAAATCACATTGAATGGCGAGAATATAAACATCACAGTTTAAGGAATTTGTCAACCTTCCTACTGACAGAAGCTGAAATGGAAAGGAGGGCACATATAGAGCAGTTGATTCAACATTAGTATCAATTAACTTGACTTTCCCTTCACCCAAAACTGATACACCAGTTCCATTAGCAACAGAGACAAATTGTGTGGAATAACTGCCTCTTTAAAGTCATGCATATATCTTTTTATATTTGTAATGTGATCAGTCGCTCCAGAGTCTATTATCCAAACATTTGCAAGTTTTCTGGAAGCAAGTGCAGCACTAAATGAGTTTAGAATACCTGACATGTCAACGGAAGATGACACCTTTGTCTGAAGAAATTTTGCGAACTGCTCAAATAATTCAGTGGTGCTAGCTTCACTGTTTCCCTTATGAAGATTGCTTTCATCTTTCTTCTGAGTGAAGGAAGAGAACTCACTCAAGAGGGCTGAGGGATTAGATGTGAAGTTCCCAACAGTTGAGGCAGTCTGCAAGCGAGAGACTTGATTTGCACTGCGACCAGGTTTGGTTTGTTTGGAAAAGTTAGGCTTAAGGTGTGGATACAACACCCAACAAGTGTCTCTGAGATGATTCTTCTGTCCACAATGACTGCATTGCATCTCTCATTTCTTTCCTTTGAAAATTTTTCCTTCAAACCTTCTGTCACTTGCAACGAAAGCTCTGGACTCAGGATCACCAACCTTAGTACTCATAACTTTCCTTCTTGCTTCTTCTCGTTGAACGATAGTGCACACAGTATTGAGAGATGGTAGTTCAACACTCATCAATATGTGGCTTCGCAGGTCCTCATAGGTAGAGTCAAGACTGGATAAAAGCTGAAAGACCTTGTCTTCTTCAGCCTGCTTAAGAAGGATTGCTGGGTCTGTAGTGTGAGGCCGATAGAGATTCAACTCATTCCACATAGACTTCAGTCTTCCCAAGTGCTCGATAAAAGTCTTTCCATCTTGATTCAGAACAGAGAGACTCTTCTGCAGCTCAAATATCCTGGCTGCATTATTTTGATTTCCATACATCTCCTTGACAGCCTTCCACAGATCAAAAGCTGATTCTGAAAAGCTGAAAATTTCTGATACCTTTGGGCCCATTGAGTTGAGCAACCAGGACATGACGAGCTGATCCTTGCAGAACCATTCTTCATACTTAGAATCACCAACCTCAGGAGGTACGATAGTTCCATTGATGAAACCAAGCTTAGATCTTCCTCCAAGAGCTAAAGTAATAGCTCTTGACCAAGGAAGATAATTAAACTCAGTTAGGAGTATGGAACAAAGACGTTGATTGGGATTTCCATCAGCTTCACTTGAAGAAACTGATGAAGAACCAAGGATGTTCTCGGATGAAGCAGCAAGTATATTTTCTTCTTCCATTTCAAAAGATTTCAGAGAACAGGTTCTTTAGGAAGCCTGCTCTGATACCATGTGATAGTTTGAAAGAATTGTTTGTATTGAAATCAGTAAGGTTACAAGAAAGAGAACTTATACAAGTGGAGAATGTCGTGAGTCACCCGATGAACCTCACACACCATGCTTCACACACTAATATTCTAACACCCATACTTTACACAATAACCCATACATATAACCCATGCTTTGGATATTAAATAATCTACCCATACCTATAACCCATACTTTGGATATTAAATAATCTAACACGTTATAATCATGAATATTACCCATAACCGATGGATACCCGTTATAACCCCGGATAATACCCATAATCGGCCATTTAAATTTCATGGATAAACGGTTATACCCATAACCGTTTATTTGTCTAAACGGTTATCCATAACCATAACTATCAACTTTAAATGGGCGGGTAACCGTGGTTATCCATACCCATGGGTATTTTGCCCATCCCTAATCCCTAGTCTATCCAAAAATTACACCTCTGAGGACAGACTACTTGAGCAGTGTGAAAAGATAAATCAGCAGCTAAGATCTCTATTTACTGTGTTGATTCAGAATGCTCCCAATGTAGATCTGCAAGACCAGCATAACGGGCATTGCACCAAGCGGAGTTGCTCAAGAAGGATGACCCGAAGATAATTGGTTTGATGCAACAAGCGGAGTTGCTTAGCTCGCTGGCATTAAAAGTTAACTCAGAGAACACAGACAGAGTCTTGAAAATGCTTGGATGGTGAGAAATAATTATCCATTTGCTGTGGTCCTGTGGATTGAGCAATTAACATTTAATTGCTTGGTTTTTAAAAATCGTAGGAACATATAAATATACATATAACTCGCATATATTGCGAATGTGATATTCAGATGCCTTTAGTCCTTTGATTCCTCCATGTTTAATCCAGAGAGTAAAACAGATTCAAGTCTGGTGCCAAATTGAGTCTGCATATCCTCTAACATACATCAAACAAACGATGTTTGAATGATGTTTGTATATGTGCCGTTGTAATGGTTGGAATGTAATGTTTGAAACTGAATCTGTGCAACTGTGCAGCCTGTGCTGCTATAATTTGTTTTCCAAAAAAAAAAAAGGATATGTGGACCCGACCCAGGTCGGCCCGTTTCAAATGGGCTGTGTTAGGTCCGGTTCCTGTATTGAAATATAATTTACCCGATCCGTCCTGCCCATTTCTTTTAAACTCGGGTCCGGTCTGGTTCCTTCAAAATTGGGCCCGGTCTGGCCTGTGCCCAGCCCTACTACACAGGACCAGACAAAGTTAGTGTAGCAAATGGTCAATCTCTTGACATTGAGCACTCTGGTAAATCCTACTTCTACACTCTTTCCAAATTCTTATTCAACAATATTCTTCACACACCTCAAGCTACTCATAATTTGTTGTTTATCAATTTACTAATGACAATAATTGTTGCTTGATACTTACCCCATTTTCTTGCATCATTATGGACATGGTTACATGGAAAACCCTTTTTCAAGGCCCTACTGAAGATTGCCTGTACAAAATTCCTTTCTCGAAAATGCCCTCATCTTTGGCACAAGCGCCTCGGGCACCCTAACTTTCAATTTTTTCAACGGATTGTCTCCTCCTCAAATATTGCTCTTGATGGCAACATTAAAGATCTCTCCTTTTGTAATAGTTGTCCTTTAGGCAAGTAGTCTAGGTTACCCTTTTCAAGAGCTCAATGTAATTCAACATCTCCTCTACAATTAATCCACTCTGATATTTGGGGTCCGACTCCTCTCTCTTCCGTTTTTGGTTTCAAGTATTACATTATTTTCATTGATGATTGGTCTCGATTTTGTTGGCTATATCGTTTAAAATTAAAATCTGATGCTTTTAAAGCCTTTCAGAATTTTAAACTACAAGTTGAAAATCAATTCGATCAAAAGATCAAAGCTATTCGATGTGATAGTTGGGGGGGGGGGAATATACAAGCAATGCTTTTAAGTCCTTTCTCACATCTCATGGAATAACACAACAATTTTGTTGCCCACACACACCTGATCAAAATGGTTTAGCGGAGAGGAAGCATAGACACATTATTGAGCTTACTAGAACTTTCCCTCCAATATTGGGTAGAAGTGGTACAAACTTCGGTGTATCTTATCAATAGAACACCATCTTCTACACTTAAATTTGTATCACCACTTCAAAAACTATTTCATTGCCCACTTGATTATTCATTTTTAAAGGTATATGGTTGCACTTGCTATCCATGGCTAAGACCCTTCTCCAACCACAAGTTTTCTTTTCGAGGTAAAAAATGTGTATTTATTGGATATGGGCTTCAACACAAAGGATATAGATGTTTGGATCTTGTAACCGGTAATGCCTACATTTCGCGGAATGTAACGGTTTGATGAAGCATGCTTTCTTTTTCAACAGTCACATTCCAATTCACAACCTGTTCAAGAACCCCACATACAACAATTACCCTCTTTTCTACCTGATCATCCCCACCCTCCACCTCACATGCCATCAACTACTACAACCTTATCACCATCATCTTCGACCCCACCCACATCCTATTCACCTCCTCATAGCCCTCTGATCCCAAATACCAACCAAACATCACCCACTCACCTGATCACAAATACCAACGAAATATCACCCACTCACATACCAAATATAACTTTTTCACCTTCCTCTTCACCCACATCACCACCAAATATAACAACTGCCTTAACCTCACCTCAATCCTCTTCCGGACCTCCTAACCATTCAATTGATCAAAAATTTTCTTCACCACTTCGTATTACACTTGACCCACCTTCCCTCACTCTCCCACCACCAACTATCAACATTCATCCCATGGAAACCCGTTCCAAAACAGGTATATATAAGCCTAAACTTTTATCTACCCGTCATCCCTTTTCTAGTGCCTTATCCACTACTCTCCAAATATATACTCCTACCACATTCAAACAAGCTTCTTCTGATCCTCACTGGAAAGCAGCAATGACTGCAGAATTCGAAGCTCTTAAGTCTACATGCATATGGACACTTGTCCCACCACCTCATTCTCACAACATTATTGGATCTAAATGGGTATATCGAGTTAAATACAAGGCAGATGGTAGTTTGGATCGATACAAAGCACAACACGTTGCTAAAGGGTTTCTTCAACAACATGGTATTGACTACCATGAAACATTCAGTCCGGTCGCTAAACCAACAACTATCAAACTCATTTTATCTTTGGTTGTCCAGTTCAATTGGCAGATTACTCAATGGGATATCTCCAATGCCTTCCTTCATGGCACACTTCATGAAGATGTGCACATGGTGCAACCTCAAGGATTTGTAGATCCTCTCAGACCTCATTTTGTGTGCAAGCTTCACAAGTCTATATGGTCTCAAACAAGCTCTGCGAGCTTGGTATGAGGAGCTCTGTCGCAGTCTTATAGCTCTCGGTTTCCGTTCCTCTACTGTAGATCCTTCACTCTTTGTCAAGGATGTTCACTCACTCACCTTTATACTTGTTTATGTTGATGATATTCTGATTACAGGTAACTCTTCTTCTCATTGTGAATTTCTGATCAACAAGCTCAGTACTCAGTTTGCTATGAAGAATCTTGGTCCATTGCACTTTTTTCTTGGTATTCAAGCTCATCTAACAGCAGACACGCTCTTCTTGTGTCAAACCAAGCATGCGCATGACCTCCTAACAAAAGCCAACATCGTGGATTCTAAACCATGTGCACCACCTTCATCTGCTTCTAAACCTGCTCCTTACGATGGTGAATTGCTTCAAAATCCTACCATGTACAGATCATTGGTTGGTGCTTTGCAATACCTTACATGGACAAGACCTAACATCGTATTTTCCGTTAGTCAATTTTGTCAACATCTTCAAATCCCAGAACAACTCATTTCACAGCCGTCAAGCGGATTCTCTGATATCATAAAGGGACGCCAGATCATGGACTTCTTCTCATCAAAGACTTTATAAACATCACTGCTTTTTGGGACGCCGACTGGGCTGGTTGTCCCATTGATCATCGTTCTACATAGTGGTTCTGCATATTTTTTGGAAACAACCTTATTTCATGGAGTGCAAAGAAGCAACCAACTATTGCTCGGTCTTCGACTGAAAGTGAATACCGTTCCCTAGCCCAAATAGCCGTTGAAGTATCATGGATTTGCTACCTCCACCATGGCCTTCGCTTCTATCTACATAATCCACTGCTGCTCTTATGTGACAATCTAAGTGCTCTTGCTCTTGTTACCAATCCTATTTTTCATGCAAGAACGAAGCATATCGAGATTGACTATCATTACATTCGTGAACTGGTCATCAACAAGTTAGTTGTCATATCATATGTGACCTCTCACAATCAGCAGCTTGCCAAAAGCTCGTTTCAAGCTGCTTAGTTCCAAGCTAACTGCTCAATCTCCGCAGCTTAGCTTGATGGGGAATATTAACCATAGTCTAGTGAACAAAGCCCATGGTGCCACACCTTGCCAAGACACCTGTTCAATTGATCAAAAACACCCATCACTCATCTAGCATCACCTCAACGGTACATTGACAACAAGGCTTGGACAACTGTGCATACATAAGGATGAGCAAGAAGAATGTTCTTTTAGGGTTTCAAATGCAGTCATGTATATAAATACTATTGTTTTACTCTTTATGTTTTGAGCTTTAGGTCTGCCGTTTCTTTCTTCTTCAAAGATAGCAACATATCTTGTAATCAATTCAAAACCATATACAGAGATGATTCTTTCCTTAACGTTGTTTTTCATCATTTTCCTCATCCGAAAACTAACATAAAACCTCTACACAGCTACAATCAGCGCATCAGACAACATAACACCACTTTCAACAACAGACAAACTCATCATTACGTAGCAACAACATCCCTGTTGAGCAGCACCTAGGTTTAAAGAAATGGAAAATGAAATCGGATAAAGTAATGATATTTTCAAAAGATGAACACTTAACGTAGGATAAAGATGACAATGAAATTGAATTATGGGTGCCTACCGTGTCCTTTGCGAAGTGTCCTTAGTTGAGCAACAAATTCAGATATTTTCTTGATGGTTTCCACCTACAAAAGTAAAAGCAGAACATCAAAAATCATGCCGCAAGGGTCCCTGTAGAACCTTTCCAACTGAGGAAAAATAAAGGAAGATATAAAGATTGACCCGCTCATCCAATAAAAACTCGGTTTCAACAAAATCTGTTAACTGCATATTTTTGCTCTTCTCAGCAACCTATTAGTTGTGAATTCGAGGATGAACATAGTATTGTAAGATTATTAATTCATAACACGAACCAATCGATGTTACCGGTACAAAATATAATCACCTAAACCTAATCATCTTATATTAAGAAGACATCATCCAATAACAATGAATGTTTTACACTGTGCAAGTGGCGCAGCTTTCATTTGCCAATTTCTCATGCGATAATGCAAGCTCCATTGCTGAATAAAAAAACGTAGGACTAAGAAGACATCAAATCCAATGCAGAGAGTAGATAAAATTTGTTGATGCACAAAATCAGCGAAGACTTTGGTACAACAGAAAGTGTTAGGTTTTGTGACCTTCGCTTGGTTGCTTCGGTCACTAGTGAGGATAAGTACGTAAATAAATAGAGACAGAGAAGCAAACACAGGATGTACGTGGTTCACCCAGATTGGCTACGTCCACGGAGTAGAGGAGTTCTTATTAGTAGTGAAGGGCTTACACAAGTACAAAGGATCAAGCTCTCAATTTAGTGAGTTCTTGTGAATGATTTAACACAAATGGCATTAGGCAATATTGTGGGGGAATGACCCCTATTTATAGAAAAACTTGTAGCTTTGTCACATTGACATGTGTCATGTTATGATTGGTTCTTGATGTCGACACGTGCTGCGCTCTGATTGGCTTCTAATCTTGACACGTGTCGAGTAGTGATTGGCCTCCTGGTCGGAGGGGAACTCTTCTGGGTCCTTGACAGTATAGCGTTGGCCGGTGCTCGGTAGTTTCGGGATTGGTCAAGTATGGTACAAACAGTGCTCCCCTAAGTTCCCGAGTGAGGGAAACTCCTCGGTTGGGGACTTGCAAGATCCAATCCCTTGAGTAATCACGAAACTTCTAAGTACCGAAGTGTGGTCTGATCTTCATCTGCCCTTCTATGGAAGTACCTTTCCTCCATCCGGGAATGGTGTATTTAGCTGATGTTGACGCACAAGGTAATGTATCAATTTCACTTGAAGCTTAGTTGTAGTTTCGGGCTTAGTCAAGTGTGATACAAACCCTATAATAGGAGTCCCCCAAGTCGCCGAGCTAGGAGATCTGCCGAAAGAGGTGACAGACAAGGTAAGCAGTCAAACTTCCAAGCAAGCAACCCAGGATCAGAGGTTTGACTTCGGCTTCCGGTTGATTGTTTTCCTTCTCCTTGTCTCTCATTCAACTGCCAGGATAAGGAGAAGCAAATGGATAAGAGATGATATGAGATACTTTTGCTTTTGAAGAAGTAACTTTCCACAGGCTTATTCTTGAACTGTGCTGGAGGGTTTTCTGGTGCCCTTCAGAGTATAAGGCCGACTCAAAAATTTGAGGGTCAAAACAAGTCCATCAAATCTAGAGTACGTTCGACCTTGATGATATGGGATACTTTTGCTGTTGACGGAATAATGAATGTGGTATGGAAAGGTGTCGTGCTGTAGTGATCTGTTTCAGCTCACCGTTGAACCTTCTGCCTCAATCGTTTGCATGGCAGAAGTGGTGTGCAACCTTTGCATTTAAATGGTCCTTCAGAACATTCCTTCATAGTGACTCATCCACGCTTGGCAGCTTCAGTGTAAAGAGCCAATATCTGATCAACTGTCATGAGGTATTTGCCGGTGGAATTCGTGACCTTGACAGCAGTTGAGGATGAGTACTCGAGAGCAATGATAAGTAAGCAACCAGGCAAAGGCTCCAGGCAGTCAGTTCCAAATTGGAGGTTTGATTTCAGGTTCCGACTGACTGCTCTCTTTCTCCTTGTCCTGCAGGTGTGGACAAGGACAAAGACAAAGACAGGGAGAAAGCATGATATGGGATACTCTTGCTTTCGACCCTGATGATATGAGATACTCTTGTTCTTGGTGTGGCTTATTTGCTGAGGTATTATCGGGGGGAAATAAAGCTGAGTATTTCGAGAGGTTATGTTGAGGGTGCCTTTTCGAATGCGAGAAAGGGTTGAGCATTTTTGCAGGTTTGCCTGTCCGTTGAGGAGGGAGGTCAATGTATATAGGGATTTCCCAATAACAAGTAGTAATGTTATTCCTTTACCCTTCTTGGTCACAGCAATGTAGTGGGAGCTGCCAGCTTCACGTGTTTTAATTTTGTCAGAGCACTTTGAAAAAGTGGTATGTGGTATCTGGAAAGCTGATATTACGTGTGAAGATTACAGACAAGCTTTATCTAAGGAAATCTGGCTCTCGAAGTTCTGAGAGTTGTGCCTCTTCGGTTTTCGAACAAGCAATCCCGTCGAGGATCTGACTCTCGAGATTCGGAAAGCAGTGCTACTCCGGTTTTTGAGAAAGTAATTATGTTGGGAGTCTTTTCTCGAATGTGAGTAAAGGTTGGACGTTCTTGCCAACCTGTCTTGCCGCAAAACACGGAGGTCGACACACATAGGGACTTTCCAGTTGTCAAGCAGTGGTGCTGTTCCTTTACCCTTATGGGTAATAGTAGGGTAGCTGGAACTTCGAAATTCTCGTGCCTAAACTTTGTCAGAGATCTTTGACAAAGTTATATGTGGTACCCGAGGAGTTGATGGTGCATATGGAGAGCGGTGATTGAACAGCAAGATTCACGTGCTTTCTACTTTACCAGAAATCTTCGACAGATTGCCCGTAATTTCCGCAAAGCTGAGTGTGCATGTGACAGGTGCTGACGAGGCTGAAAAAGCAGGTGCTTCTTCGATTTCTGAGATCGGCCCTCGTGGTCTCTGAGCAGCCCAGCTTTTGAGAAAGCAAACGCCTCTTCGATTTCTGAAGCTCCGTCGAGTGCAGATTTTTATAGAGGCTGACATTAAGTTCCACAGCACACTTGAATCTCTACCAGTAGAAGCTCATTTCTTGCACTTCTAAGATCTTGATTTGTCTGACCTCTTCCCTCTTCAACACATTTGAAAATGTCTGGACCCTCCGACCGTCGTTTTGACTTGAACCTTGGAGAAGAGACAGCCACGCCTTCTCCAGACAACATATGGCGCCCATCCTTCATATCCCCTACTGGTCCTCTTACCGTTGGGGATTCTGTGATGAAGAATGATATGACCGCTGCAGTGGTGGCCAGGAACCTTCTCACTCCCAAAGATAACAGACTACTTTCCAAACGGTCTGATGAGTTGGCTGTTAAGGACTCTTTGGTTCTTAGTGTTCAGTGTGCAGGTTCTGTGTCTAATATGGCCCAACGCCTATTTGCTAGAACCCGCCAAGTTGAATCATTGGCTGCTGAAGTGATGAGTCTCAAACAGGAGATTAGAGGGCTCAAGCATGAGAATAAGCAGTTGCACCGGCTCGCCCATGACTATGCTACAAACATGAAGAGGAAGCTTGACCAGATGAAGGAATCTGATGGTAAGGTTTTACTTGATCATCAGCGGTTTGTGGGTTTGTTCCAAAGGCATTTATTGCCTTCGTCCTCTAGGGTTGTACCTGGTAATGAAGCTTCAAATGATGAACCTCCAATGCCTCCTCCTTCTGGGGTTTTGTCAAGTACTGAGGCTCCGGATAACCACCCTCCGGTGCTTTCTCTTTCTGGGGCTCTACCGACTGCTGAGACTTCCCCTAAGCAACCTTTGTGAAGGCTCCCTTTTTGTTTTTATTTTGACTCATGTATATGTACATATTTGTGGCTTATCGAAAATATTAATAAATAAGCTTTGCTTCATTTCAACATATTGTGTTAAATACACCAAAGCCTTCTTCATAAAGTTCTTTGAATTTTTGCTTTTGTTGAAACCTGTATTGTTGAAGCTTTGTGAGTGAAGCATGTAGTTTGAGGTAGTGTTCCCTTAATTTCCCGAGTGAGGAAAACTTCTCGGTTGGAGACTTGAAAAATCCAAGTCACTAAGTGGTTGTGAGACTGCCGAGTATCAAGGTGCAGTAGCATATGGTGGGAGTCCCCCAAGTCTTCAGGCGAAGAGAGTTGCCGAATGAGGTGTCTCGCGTGTTACTAATTTGTCAAAGTAACGAATCCTTGTTTCGATGTCACACATTCGTATATGCTTTATCTAAAAATATTTCCAACTTTTGTGTGTTTGATGCTGCATGCTATTGACTAGACAAGATCAAGTGCAATTAGTAGCTTTTCTCTCTTTTTCATCTTTTCTTTGGTGGAATTGCTTTTCGTTTCCACTAATCAGCCTGAGTGGATGCAAGATAACACCTTTCTCTATAGATCAGATTGCAAAGTCGTCTTCATGAAAGTTTTTCCTTATCTTGTGAACTACAACATATCCAAATTTGAGATCCATCGGAGTAGTACAACTTCAGAAATTCAAGTATGATGAGTAACTGTTCATCAATGTTCTGTTAATCCGTCAGACTTGTTGTGAGCTTCGAAACTCCATTTTCTCTTATTCAGATCAACATACTTTCTTCATCGAAGTTGTTCCTCAGCTTGTGAACTACAACATATCCAAATTTGAGATCTCTCGGAGCAGTATAACTCCAGAAATCCAGGTATGATGAATGACTGGTTATTATTTTTCTGTCAACCCGTCAGATTTGTTGTGAGCTTCGAAACTCCATTTTCTCTTGTTCATATTGGTATGCTTTCTTCATTGAAGTTGTTCCTCAGCTCGTGAACTACAACATATCCAAATTTGAGATCCCTCGGAGCAGTATAACTCCAGAAATCCAGGTATGATGAATGACTGGTTATTATTTTTCTGTCAACCTGTCAGATTTGTTGTGAGCTTCGAAACTCCATTGTCTATTGTTCAGATCGGCATGCTTTCTTCATTGAAGTTGTTCCTCATCGTCTCTTTCATAACATATCAAAAATTCAGAATGAACTAATGGTTAAATATTTCCAGATCTTCGAAACATCACAGCAGCTTCGAAATCTGCAAGAATCCGACTGTCATGTTTGGAGCTTCAACACTTTAATTTCCGTCGCTCAAACAGAAATGGTTCCTTCTTGAAAGTTGTTCATATGCTCAAGAACTATAGGGTGTCCAAAATTCAGCTCCATTGGAGAAGAGCAGAGGTTGCAGAAATTTGATAGAT